GCTGCTGCTGCTTTTGTCCCCTGCCCCAGCAGCCACATCAGTGTCCTGCCATGGGGCAGCCCAGCCGCCTGGCTGCTGTGGTGATACCCATGAGACAGTTTCTATTTCACCACCTCCCTTTGTGAATGAGATGGGCTGGGAGTCCTAGAGACCTGCCTGGTCAGAAGGGCTGGGAGGGCCACCCTTTTGGGTTTGAGAACATCAAAACCTCAGAGGCTGTGGGCAGCATTGATGGACACTACCGTCACTGCAGTTTCTGCACCCTAAAACCTCTGGCCACAGTAGATTCCTATAACCAAGCTTTTAGAGAGTTTTAGTGCCAGAAGGAACAGGATTGTGTCCATTGACCTCTGAATAGAAATAATTGGCAACTAAAGACTTCATTTGAATGGCTGTGGACTTTGAGATTGATATCTTTGAGAAGTGTGTTCTATTTTTGATGTTTACCTTGCATGGCTGAAAAATAGCTGAAATGGGGTGTTTGCAAGAAAGGGATTTATTTGATGAGTTCTTATGCAACTTATAAGAAAAATGACAACTGCTGAACTTCAAGGAATCATGGATGACCAGGCACTTAGACCTTCCCATCTCCCTTTAGAAACGTTTCAATCAGTTATTGAAATGTTTGATATTTAATATGGGCTTGTATGAATGTGTCACTGCTGCTGTATCAGTTCCTCTTGCATAATTCCCTCCCTTGTGGTTTTCTGTGCACAGTATTCTGTGTCCTCAGCATCTGATCCTGAACAGAATTTCAAGAAGAAGGACAGTGTGTGCAAATATCACTGATGGCCAAAGAGCTGCTTGTGCTGCCTGTAAGCTGCTGAGCTCAAGTGAAACATTTCTTGTAATAATAACAATGATCCCTGAAAAATGCCAGCATGGTGAATGTCTTTGGTAACAGAAAACAGCTCAGTTTGGCCCAGAGAAACACAAACCAAAATCTGTAGTTTTACTTAAGTGCCGTTTATTCAAGACAGTTTTTGACTGTCTTTTTTTTCTCAGAATCCTAGAGGGAACATCCAAGGTGCAACAGCTAAAAGCCCCAAATTGCCTTACAACATCTTTCTCAAAGAGCCTCTTCCCAGGAACTCAAGGAGGGAGCTTTCCACACTGTAAATTTGGGACTCACTGCATTCCTCTTAGAGTTCTCTTTGCATCAAAATGAATTATTTACATAAGTCATAAACCACCTGCACAGCTCCTGAAATGCAGAGCATGAGCTCTGATTTCAGCTGCACCAGAAGAAAGCAGGGATAATCTTAGGGCAGTTGACTGTGGAAATTCCTGGGTGTGAAGCTGGTATCAGTGGGACCTTCAGGACTTGGTCAGCAGGTCCACCTCCAGTGTTTCTTGTCACTAGTGGAACAGCCACCACCCTCATCTGAGTGCGTTCCTGTGAGTTATAGGAGCCAGTGAGGCTTTAATCAATTGAAAGAGAAAAACTCTGGAAAAAATATGGGACTTCATTCATTGCAGAATTACATTAAATTAGAATTTATATATCTTTTCATTCCTTACTATGCAAATAATACTAGTTCAAAATAATGCAATTATGCAATCAAGAATAAACTTATAAATGACAGTTTAGGTCAGCTGTGCAAAGAATGGACCAGAATTCAGTAGTTTAGCTTTTAAGCCTATATTCAAACTAGGACAGATAGAATAATAATAAAAACAAACTGCTATGATGTTTCCTGCATTATTAGAACTTCCAGGTAATCTATCCAAAATTTCATTGACCTATTTTTACAGGAATTATGCCTGAAGTTTCAATGCTTCCAGTGGGATTTCACAACCATTCAGAGTTTATCTTAATGCATCATAAAATCTTTAAGATCAAAGCTTTTTGAACATTGTGCATAAAATACTGCATTACTTTTTGGCAGAAGGAAGATGATTATTAATTTCAACCCAGCATCACATCCTTGTTGTCAGTGTCCTTTAAGATATACATTGTAGATTGATCTGCTCAGACTCAGGAAGATATTCAATTATTTGAAATAAGGTTATCAGAGGAAATCTTGAAGGTACAGTATCCATTCTTGAATTTGAAATATTTTTTCTATACCCTTTCTAGGAAAACATATAAGGGAAAAGGTGGTTAATTATCAGATGGGAAATCTTCCCCCTCCTGAAATACAGGATTTATTATCCATGGATACTCGGTTTGCATCTGCAACTCATAAAGATTGATTAAAAGGCAGAAAAAAAGGGGAAGGCATGGGAAGAAAATACTTTTTAATACTATTCTCAGTGGCTTTTATTCTGCTTGTTCAGCTTCAGTCAGCTCCTCGGTTTATACTCAAAAGCTGTAAACCTAAACAGTGGCCTATATCTATGGAGATTTATATCCACAAATGTGCTTGTTTTGGATATGAATGATATTAATTTATTCTCCATAGTGAAGAGCTCAAAACCATGCAGTAAAGAAAGGTTTTCCCCTTCCTACTCTGCCCAGTGCAGGAATAACAACCTGCTATTATCTATTTCAGGGAGGGAAAATGCTGGGTTTTTTCACCCTAAGCCAGAGGATTTCCTTTAACTGGGAGCTATAGCAGAGCTTTAGGTGCTGGGACAGAGCAGGTTTAACTGCAGAACTCCAGGAATCAAGCAGGTCAGTGTTGTGTAACTCATACTTCTGAAAAAAAGGCCACATAAGCACTTCAAATTTCGGTCAGTTTAATTGGAATAGAAATTCTGATACATTTTATGGTGAAGTAGAGACATCTAGTGACTATTTTGTGTGATTCAAATGCAAAGGATTAATGTAGGAGGGAAAAAAAAACCCTTCCAAATTCTTGAGTATCCTTCGAACAATAGGTACATCTTTATATATAAAATAAATTTAGTCTGGCTTTGCATTACTGGCAGTGAGGACAGTTAGTGCCTAAGTACTAACACAATTACTAACTCAATGTTACTTTTTTAAAGAATCTTCCTCAGAACAACTTGACTGCAACCTCAAGCAAAAAATGTCTTTTTCTACTGAACCATCACCTGCCTGCCAAGGGAAGGGGAAGATGCTGGAATTAGAAGGGGAAGGATGTTAGAACTGGAAGTGGGCTGGAATTAGATGGTTTTTAAGGACTCTTCCAACCCAAATCATCCTGGGATTGATTCCATGCTGCCTTGGACAGAAAAGCTTTAACCCTGTAATCTTCTGCTCACCCACCTAGACATCTAAATCTCAGCTGTTTACAAACGTCTGCTTTCCAGCTGGTACCTCCACAGTCCTCCCACTTCCTCCTGAAAGGTCAGTCAGGTATTGCAGTGCTCTGGGACACTTCACATTTTCTCATTATATTTCAGCAGCCAAAAAGCACATTTTTCCAGAGTATGGGAGAGTATCACTTTCTCTCATTGCTGTCCTCCTTTCCATGACAGAAAAGGACATTGTGGTTCTTCTCCACTCTGCCGAGACCCCCCCTGCAGGGCTGCATCCAGCCCTGGGGCCAGCACAGGAAGGACTGGGAGCTGCTGGAGCCAGGCCAGAGCAGGGACACCAAGGGGATCAGAGGGATGGAGCAGCTCTGCTGAGAGGAAAGGCTGAGGGAAGTGGGACTGACCAGCCTGGAGAAGAGATGACTTTGGGGTGACCTCATTGTGGCCTTTCAGTGCCTGAAGGGAACCCACAGAAGATGGAGAGAGATGCTTGACAAGTGACTTTGGAGTGACCTCATTGTGGCCTTTCAGTGCCTGAAGGGAACCCACAGAAGATGGAGAGAGATGCTTGACAAGGGCCTGGAGCGACAGGACAAGGGGGAATGGCTTTACACTGACAGAGAAGAGGTTTAGATTGGATATGAAGAAGAAATTGTTCTCTGTGAGGGTGGTGAGGCCTGGCACAAGTTTCTGATAGAAGCTGTGGCTGCCCCATCCCTCAAGGCCAGATTGGACGGGATTTGGAGCAGCTTGGTCTGGTGGAAGGTGTCCTTGCCCATGGCAGAAGGGTGGAATTACATCATCTTTAAAGTCTATTGTTAATGCAGAACTTTTTAGTTACCAGAATTGTGAAGGCCCATTCTCAAAACATCTCAGTGAAATAAGCTGAAAATGCCAAAGTGTTCATCCTTCTTCTATGGCTGGTCCCAAGAGGGTAAAATATTGCACTCCTTGACTTACCACCATGATAACTCCAAAGAACCCCATTTTCTGCCTTTATTGAGAAAGTTTGAAAATCAACATGCAAAGAAAGCATAGGTTAGACTCACCCCTGGTTTAATTCTGAGCTCAATAGTGCCCCAGAGATATGAGGATTAGCATGTGGTATAGAGCTGGTTGAAGAGCAGAAGTTCCTCTGTGAGAGGAATTAAAAGTTTTGGTATCATTCTAAGTTACCAAAAACCCCAAAAATTTAGAAAAAACCCCCCCAAATGTAGAAATTTCTATGGGGAGGAAAATCCAACTGAAAAAAGGAAGTGGACCTCATAGAAACATTTTTAAACCAAACTTTTAAATTTAATTTTATTCTGTATGAAATACAGAAAAACTTTATTTCAAAAATATTTAGGGGTTTTTTTTCAGCAATATCAGATATTCTTTCTGTTCCTCCCCATATAACTGCTTTCTGGTTTCAACCCTGACCTATGGAAGTTTAGGAGGAAGTGATCTGATAATCACAAACCAAAGCAATCTAATCACAAAATGAGCAATCTAATAACCATGAACTGAGTTTTCTGTTGAAACAAATTTTAATGTCCAGTTGGTTTGACGACAGTATGAACACACTCAGCATGTTGCCAGCTCAGGTTCTAAATGAAAATTATGTGTGGGCTGAAAGTCACAGTTTATGAGAAAACTGATCAAAATCTCAGTTTTAAATAGAACATACACCAAGAGAAGGGAGTAAGAATTAAAAATTGTTTATCAAAAGCTACAAGGTGAGAATTTATATTTGAAAAAAAAAAAGGGTTCTGGTTTCCTTCCGTTTTGCAGACCTCTAAACACTTATTTTGACCTAATGTGGTGTGATGGGAGGAGATCAGAAATGGGGCTGTGTTTTCTTCAGCGAGTCCATTTTGATGGCAGACCTGAGAGCTGAAAGCAACTTTTCAAAATGGCAAGTGAGGTGCTCTATGCTGTGGTGTCACCCAAGGAAAGAGCGAATTTTATTTCAGAAGCTTCAGATACAGGTAAAAAAAAAATTCATCTTAATATTACTTATTTTTCTTTGCTCACTGACGCATTCTTAAAACTTTCACTCTTTCTTAAATCGTTCACAAGCAGCTGAAGTCATGTGGAAAGCCTTTTAAAACTATTAATACTCAACTCTGTTTATTATATTTATCTATTGGCATGGCAAATTCATGTTTATTGATAGAATTATGAATTCTAGCAAAAGTGAAGATTGACCTTTAAAATCCCATTCTGGCTTTCAGTAAGATGGTTGAAATAGGATCTTGAACACATTAATGTTCAGACATTGGAGATCTTTAGACAGAATATTGGAAACTCATTGACAGTTGAAGTTCACTGGATGGACTTCTCTTTCCTGCAGTCCACTTACATTTTGTGTTTTAATTTGATTCAGTTTCTTAGACACCAGAAATATTTTTAAATTCTAAAGTAATAGGTCTGTTTCTATTTTCTTGTTTCCTTCTTTCTTTTTCCTTTCTTTCTTTCTCTTTCTCTGTCTCTGTCCCTCTTTCTTTCTCTTCTAAAAGTTCTGTGTTGAGAAAAATACAAGTCAAGATTTAACAGAACTTTCTACAATTTTGAAAACTGTTAGTACTGCAATATGTGCATAACCTACTGATGCCTTCAACTATAGAACTGCATTGCTTAAAAAAATTATTTAAAAAAATAATGTGCAAAATATTGCCATTAATGGATTTAGGTAGGAAATAATTCATAGTTTTAAAACAAAAGTATCAAGTTTTACTTTTTCAATTCTGATAAAAAAATAGCTCTTTTCTTGTTGTAAGAAAATTGAGCATGGAAAATTTATTTTAAATTATAATATTCAGAGCTTCCAATAGGAAAGAAAAATATATGCTGAGTATACCATTAAAGCAATATTTATTCTTAAAAATTAAATATGTATATTCACTCATTGGAACAGAGTACAAAAAGAACCTGTACAGGTATGAAATCCTTGTCTTTCATTGTTCACTCAGCTTGCCCCTTAAATTACAGGACCAGTTCTCTGCAGAACACAACCAGTTCTGACAGCTACACTGCCAGGACAATCCTTGGAACTCCAGTGTAAAACTGTCCCCTAAGGATTTACTGGAGATGCACCCTCATGCCCAGCACAACTCACAATGACAGTCTCTTAAACTTGGAGAGCGTAAAAGTCTGTTCCTTCTCTTTTTATTTTTTTCCTCACCTGTTCATTAAATTTCCAGTTGTATGTTATAGTTTTAAGTACTTTCACACAGCTTTAATTCACTTTAGTGAATCATACTTAAAAATTGATGTTTAAACTCGGAGACCCCCCTAAGCCAAGATCATACTTCTGAAATTTGCCACTATAAGGTGCTTGGAAATTCAGAATCTAAAAAATTCAAAAGGCCAATTATGAGGCTAATTAAGTAACCAAAATTTCACACAAAATGCTTTTCTTATGTTTTAGAGTATGCTATCATGGTGTTTAACTTGTCATGATATTTATTTTTAAATATTTTTAATTGTAATATCTATATTCTTGTAATTTCTGTGCAGCTTGCATCCCTGTGGTATCCCAATGAATGCTTTACTTAAATAGCATCCTAAAGCAAGGACTTCCACAGGCTGATTGTAATACCTTGCATGAAGAAATACTTTAAATCAATTTTGAACTTGGCACCTATTAATAGCACCAGTGTATCCTAGTGAGATATAGCAGGAAAAAAATCACCTATCTACACAATTAATATTTTTTCATGTTCTTATAGATATAAAATCATATCTATACATTCTTACAGTCTGCATCTTCAAATTCTTTGTGTGTTCCATCACTTTTGTACTTGAGAGCAGAAGTGCAGGAAACCGAGCCCTCATCTTCTGCCAGATGTTGTTAAATTGTTCTGACCACTCTGCTGTTGCCTGTGAAAGATGCTCAGTTCTGCAATTGGGTTAGATTCAATATTTTCTGTAAATCTAAGGTTGATCTCAGCAGCCCTGGCACCTTTTGGAGGTTGCTTTTCTTCAAACAAAAAAAAAAAATATTTCATACACTATCAGTGAGCAAATATTTGAAAGTAGCTCCTGGGGAATGCAAACATGCATAGCAGGCAGCTCTGGAGGTTGCGGTGTGTTGCAGTTGATATAAAAATACAGCTCCTTCCTTCCTTCCTTCTGCTGCCACACCTACCAAAAACTGCTGGGGTCAGTGACACATCCCACACCTTTGGGGAAGCCCACCCTAACAACACTATTTATGCTCTCTGTTGGTTGCAAAAGTCTTGTAACACAGGATGAAGTACTTTTTATAATGCTTTTGACCACGAATGTCACAGCCCAGCTTGTGGTTTATTAAGAAGTAAATGGAAAAAAAAATTTAGTTAAGGAAAGTTGCCAGTGATTAACTTCTGCTTAAAGACTGACAGATATATAAATGTGTGTGCAAGATATGGAATGACAAAAAATGGAATTCATAATAGAGTAACTCAGTGTATGGTAACTGAGAGTCACTTAGAAGGATCTGTAAAATTGTCTAAAATTTAATAAATTTTATTTATTTATTTATTTGGAATACTGCACTGAAGAACCATTGTTGCAGGAACTCTCCTAGTACCTTCAACCCTTTTTGTCCCTCCAGGTGATTCAGTCACATATGCTGAGGTGAATATGAATTGGAGATCTGACAGACCTGACAGCACACCCAAAATTACACACTCAGGTATGGCAACACCGCAGGACACTTCACATTTTCTCATTATATTTCAGCAGCCAAACATCATAATTTTCCAGAGTATGGGAGGGAGTTGCTTTTTCTCTTTGCTGCAGGTGATATCAATCAATTTTTCCCTTTTTCCCTGCTCTCCACTCCTGAAGGATGCTCCGAACATGCTTAAAATTCATTTTGCAGTAGAGGCACTTGAAAACTTTTCTGTTCATTTTAGCAACCATTTCCATGTACTGCTTTTCACTTCTGAATGAATTTTGGGTAAATTCAGGCCAACAATAGTATTTAAAGCAAAACTAAGCTACTTTTGAAAAGGAATAGCCAAAAAGCAAAAATTCTGGACAGCTTTTTGACAATTCCATAAAAAATGTGTCTGTCTTTTCTTAAGTTAAAATTTTAAGATAGTTTAAACTATTTCAAACCATGTAACCAGCCTTGAAAGAAAATTTTATTCTGCAAAGTGAAATAATATATTGGATATGAGTTTTGACTCTTGTGTGTGAGGTGAAAACAAAGAAGAGAATATTGCATTCATGTGATACATACGAGCAATTAATATATGCATGGAAAAAATGTTAGCTGTGGGAAATGCTAGTGCAAACAAACATTTCCACTGGGGTTTAATTTGGTCTCACAACAAGCAAAAAGAAACCAAAAGCTTCAGATGTGTTTTCTGAATAAAAGTGGCAGTCAGGCAGACAAGGGAGTGGGCCAGGTGGAGACCCGGCTACAAAGACAAAACAAATTTACTGCTTTCACTGAAATGCCCTATGATTTTATCTCACTGGATCCAGGCTTGGAATACAGCATGGAAATTGTTGTCAGAAATGCAATTTTGATATAGGGCCATTGACCTGTCTGCTTTTTGGCTCCTTTTTATATCCCAGTCCTCAATCTCTCCCTTCCTTTCTCTGTTTCTGGCTACATTGTCTAGGTTTTTAGAATTTTCTTCAAGGAGTATCAAAATCCATATATGCTCTACCCATGGATAAATGCTACTAGGAGAGTTCTGTCCCTTCACATTCTTAACTGGATCTTCTTTAAAACCACAGGAGCTGAATGTTCTGATTCTTGTTTAGCTTGGGGAGCAGTTTAAATGGAAAGTATTAAGGAATGGGGATCAAATGAACGCAGTGATCCTAGCCAGGACTAAAGTTGGAGGAAAAAAATGATGGAGGCAGGGATTTAAAGACTAATTAAACAAGTGTGTCTTTGTGGTGCTTAAAAATTATGGTAATCTGGGAAGAGTCTCTAGTATTTCAAATAACCTATAAAAATTTTTTTTAAAGCCTGAATGGGACCTTCAAGGTTTCCTTGTGGATCTTCAGTTGTGCAACCTCAGACAATTAACACAGGATAGCTCAACCACTGCAAGCCATTTTCCAAGGAAAAGGCAGGGCATATTCCAGGGTGAGAAGCACTGGCAGTGTGTGCACGTGGCAAAACTCTGACACAGCAGTGCTTGCAAAGCTGTGCTCTGCCACTAAAGGCAAGAGGTTGTAGTTTTAGGTTTCTTCTCAACGGCTGTGATGATAAAATATAGGACTGGTCAAGAAAAGGTTTCTTCTGACCCTGGATCTATAGCAGGAGGGACAATGATTTTTCATACTCCACAATTCAGAACAAAAGTGTCCCCTTGCTTCTGCCCACTGTGACACCCCTGTCCCTTGTCCCCTTGGCAGTGACCTGCTTGGAGAACTCCCCCTGGTGCTACCTTGTCTTCGCCCTCCTCTTCTGCACAGTGATTCTGCTCCTCACGGTCATCCTGCTGGCAGTGAAATGTTACAGTCTTTGACCCTGCTGCCATACCAGGTAAGCCCTTCCCAGCCCCGCTGGATTTCCATAGATACCTTGGCAATCAGCACAGGAGGTGCAAGGAAGCTCCCAAACCAAAGGCTGGTAGTTTTGGGCAGCCATGGTAACACTCACAGCAATTTTGAGCTTCAGTGAGGTTCTCTAATTCTAGCAGCTTTTGTCTCTTTCCTTTCCAGGTAAGTCAGCATGGAAGGTTCTGCTTTTTCAACGGAACTGGATGTAGTCTGTTTTATTTTACATTATTTTGGCTGAGGAGACAAAATGAAGATATGCCATCAGTCTGATCACTCTCCAGTTATGTCTTCCCAGAGCTCTGTAAAACCTCTAACCTCTCCATATGTGGACTATATAGATACCAACTTTATTTGGAATTTTCTTAATCCTACAATACCAGCAACCATCCAACTATATCAGTGCATGTATCAAGACATGGGCTCAAGATCCTGCATCAAAAGGTGGATTCGCGCCTTGTTTACACAACAAAAATGATCAGGTGGAGACATACTTTTAATTCACATCTGACTTGATTCTGCACTGGTGTGCAATATATATACACTTTTGGATTATATGCAAGTGCAAAAACTCATAGACAAAACAGGGAATTATAAAAATCCTTTTTATAAAGGCTGGGCTTGGACTTGGTTTTTCTTCTTCTGACAGCCAACTAAAGTTAGTTGGATTTGTATGAAAGGGATATTGAAGGTTCAAGAAACTGAATGTTATCAGTAGAGAAGTCTCCATTTCATCTCCTCATTGTCTTGAATTGAATTGTTCTGTTCCACTTGTCCAGAAGAGCATCTCACAATATACTGTTTCTGTCTTGGGGCAGTAATTGATTTTTGTATTTGTGTTTGGTTTTTTTCTCCCACATGCCATAGCTTCAGTTAAAACTGACTCTTCCACTGGAACTGAGACACTGAAGTTCAAATACATTTGTTTGTAATTATGACCTTATTGTCTGTTTTTATATTATTTTTGGATCTTATCCTTTTAAACTTCTTTGTGGCAGGCTGCAGAGGATTTGCAGATTCTGAGTAGGAGGAATCTGTATAGCAAATATATCTAGAACTTATATATCTATATATATTTTATACATATATATAAAATATATCTAAACTTCCTGTACTTTAGCTGTTGCTGTTGCTGCTGTTGGTAATGTACCCTATCTTTATAATATATATATGCACAGAAGTCAATAAAGGGATTCAGTAAAGCACTTTTGCTGGTGTGTGGTTGGTTGGTTTGGTTTCCTCCAGTCCTCTGTTAGTAAGACTGGAGAAAAAATAACATTTGGTATTTGTATGAGTGTCAGTATATGTGGTGTAGCCCATTTATAGCACACCTGTTTTATAGATCTTGCTACTTACCCTCTTTTTTTTCAGACTTACCTTTGCCGTCCCCTCTTCAAGATAAAAATGCAGTACATAAAACTCAAAAAGCCAGAAATCAGACCCAAGACACAGGCAAAATCATGAGACTGGACATTTGGTAATATCAGAATATTAGAAATACTAGATGGGTGGTAGAAGACAGTGCAAGGTGAGGGTAACACAAGGCAATCAGTGAGGTATCAGAACCAAATACACCAATATTTTAATAATCTTATTTTTTTAAACAGTTGAATTCAACTGTCTCAGAGGAAGGCTACATATGTATATTGGTATTTCCAGGGAGGTCAATTTCTTTTACTCTTCTGCTTGCAAATGTTGTCAGCCAACAGCCTCACAAGTACCCTGGGTCATACACCCCTCAGATCTCTATGGGGTGTGGTGACTTGTAGAGAGAAGGAAGACAATTTTTTATTGATTTTATTATAATTTCCTGGGTATTGGCTTTGTAGCCTATTCCTTTGTGAAGTATAAGAATAGACAGGAAAAATATTTTTATTGTTTCTGGCCTTTTCATCATCCTAAAAATATTAAAAGTTTCATGTCAGGCCTCAAGTTTAGTAAAAAAAATAATTCTTGGAGGTCTGAGAGGGGCTGATTCCCATTCCCACATCCCGTGATGTGGGACCTGGACAGGCTGGATAAATGGGCTGAGACCAAAGGAATGAAGTTCAACAAAAGTAAGTGCTGGGTCCTGCCTTGTGTCACAACAACCCCCAGCAGCTCCAGGCTGGGGAAGAGCAGCTGGGAAGAGCCCAGCAGGAAAGGGCCTGGGCCTGCTGCTCCACAGTGCGTGCCCAGGTGGGCAAGAAGGCCAATGGCTGCTGGGCTGGGTCAGCAATGGTGAGGCCAGCAGGAGCAGGGCAGTGACTGCACTGCAAGATGGACAATGAGGGGCTGGGTGTGTCTAGAGGAAGGAACGGAGCTGGGCAAGGGGCCGGAGCACAAGTGTGAATGAGGAGCAGTTGAGGGAGCTGGGGGTGTTTAACCTGGACGAAAAGGAGGCTCAGGGGAGCCCTATTGCTCTCCACACCTCCCAGACAGGAGGGTGCAGCCAGGTGGAGGTCAGGCTCTGCTCCCAGGGAACAAGGGACAAGACGAGAGGACACAGTCTTAAGCTGAGCCAGGGAAGGTTTAGTTTGGACATAAGGTAGATTTATTTCATAGAAAGGGTGATTAGATATCGGAAAGGGCTGCCCGGGGAGGCGGCGGAGTCCCAGTCCCTGGAGCTGTCAGAAAGAAGCACGTGGCGCTCAGTGCCGTGGTGCAGCTGACGCGGCGGCGAGCGTTCAAAGGTTGGGCTCGCTCATCCCCGAGGTCTCTTCCAGGCCGAATGCTCCCGTGACCCTGCGCAGGGCGCAGCCGGTGGGTGTGGGTTTCCCACCACCACCAGCACGCCCTCGCACCGCGCACCCCGGGGCCGCCTCGCTTCGCTCCCGTCTCCGCGGCAACCGGGCGGGCCGGGCGGGGCCGCGCCGCCCCTCGNGAGCGTCCCGGGAGCGGCGGCGCGGGCAGACCCGGCAGCCCCGGCCCTTCTCCTTCGCGGCTCCGCCGGCGGCCCTGCCGGCTCTCCCGGCGCCATGTGCGAACCCAGCAAGCAGGACATCGTCGCCATCTTCAAGCGGCTCCGCTCCGTGCCCACCAACAAGGTAAGGGGCCGGGCCGGGCCGGGCCGGCGGGCAGCGCTCCGCCGCGGTGACACGTCGCACAGCCGGCGGGGCGGGGGAGGCGTGGGGCCCGCAGCCGGGCACGTCCGGCCCGGGACAGCAGGGAAAGGCCCGGTGAGTCCTCGGGCTGGCTGTCCCGGGATCGGGGGAGCTTTTCCCTGCCTGCCCCTCGTCCCTCCGGCCGGCATCCCGAAGGGATGAGCCCTTGGGCAGGGAGGTGCGGCTCCCGCCGGGTGCCTCAGGTCCGCTGCCAGGGTGAGCTCCGCTGAGCATAAAGGCAAGTTTCCAGCCAGCTGCAACGTAGTGTTGAGTGTGTGGTTTTGTTTGTTTTTTGTTTTGTTTTGGTTTTTTTTCCCTGTTTTTATTGTCCAGCGAAGTGGCACAGCCGTTTCTGTAGTGATAAAAGTTTGTTGGTTTGGGATCCCGTTGGGCTTGTCCCGTGCTCAGGTGGGTTTTTCCGTGGTGTGAAGGTGGTTCTGTGGTGCCCTGTGGTGCCCATTGGGCTGGGAAAGGTGGCTGGCCAGGTGACGCGGCACAAGTGCCTTCAGCTGCTCTGTGCTGTTTGTTTGTGTTGGCTTTGCGATGTACGCTGACAACATAGGTGATTTATACACCCACCAGGAAACTTTGCATTAGCGTTATGAAGGAACACGTTGGGTTTGTTTTCTGGGAATAGGAATCCGGATGTCTGTTTCTGGTCCAAAACTGACTTCCACACTTTGAACGCAATTCTTTAAGACTGTACACGTCTGGTTTCTCCAAGCAGAGCTCAGGGGTGAGCACTCGGTTTCTAACAGAAGAATTCTTAAAACTTGCCTTTGCCATGGGGTAAAAAGTTTATCAAGGAAAGGTTCTAGTCCCAGCAACGACGGTGAGAGATGTCTTACAAGCCCCTGAAATTCACTGGCACTCTGCGTGAAAATTGAGTAGTTTAGGGCTATTCTTTTTTATTGGGATCACAGGAAAACTAGAAAGTACTGCCCCTGGCTGACAACCATGGAGTGCCTCAAGCAGTTCCCCTGTGCTGGACTCCTTGTTACTGTGTCATCATGTGGATGTGGTACCTGTGGTTGCTCAGGTGTATCCGTCTCCCCATGTCAGATGCCATACAGAAATTCAGTGTTGACATAGCACATAGTAGCACAATTACCGTGAGCCAGTGGCAAAGAAGTAGCTCAGGCACAGAGAACTCGGTAACAATGTGGTGGTGCCCGGTCTGGGTGACCTAAGAAGGCAGAGAGGGAGAGTGGAAAACAGCAGCTTAGATCTCACAACTCTCCCACTCCTGCTTGTCTGACTGTTCTCCTGAAGTAAAAGTTGTTTGTTCCATCAGTTTCTCCTTGCATATTTGTTTCCTTTCTATTTCCTTTCTGTTGTGTTCCTCTTAAGCAGTCTATCTATCCCTTTTATTTGTAAGTCTTTTTTGTGTGGGAGGGAGAAAGACATGGGAAAGTGCAAATATTGAAAAGGGTTCTGGATTAAAAGCTTAGTAATTCGCATTAGCTGTGCAGTTTATGGATAGAACTTGGGAAGAACTGCCTGGTCTAGGCAGACAAGTGCATTTACACTGGTCTGGGTGCTCTGCAGTAGTTCTTAGTGCATGTCAGCTTAGGAAAATAATTCTCATTTAAATAAAGGTGCAGTTTAATATGTGGATTAGAGTGTATTGAAAGTGATGTTTTAATAATTGTTTTGAAATTAACATCTGTAATTTGATGTTAGTTCCCTTTATGATAAGGTTTTGAGTTCTTGGTGTATTTGGGTGTTACATAATGTAGAGCTGCCTGATGACAGCAGACTGTTTATCAGCTGCCTGATGACTTAACAAACATGTTACAGTTACTAACTAGGATGTATTTTGTACCCATAAATATGTTCATAGTCCTTAAGCTACTTGATATTGTTGAGTGAGTTCTGCAGCTCAACCCCTTTGAAGACTTGCACACTCAGGCTTTGCTGAAAGTCTCTTTGATTCTGTCAGACCTTTTAGATATGTTCCTCTGAAAATGTTTTTTCATTTCTTTCTTTCATCCTGTCTCTGCTTGGACTCCCAGTGTGCGTGTTGTGCTGGTGGTTTATCAGTAGTTGAGTTTTGTTGTTGCAGTGTGTGTTTGGGTGTGGCTTGTGTTTGTGTTGGGTTTTGCCCCAGGATGGACTCTACTATCTTGTGTCCCTTTAGTAATTTTGAGATGATGACACTTCCAAGACAGGCAGTCCTCTTGCCTTCCCGTGGCCAGCCCTGCAGTTCCCTTCCTTATGGTGGCATTCCTGGACAGGTGGCTGTGCTGTGAGTTGGCCCTACGTTTGCCCTGAGTCCAAGTGCCCGTGCGGAGCTGCTTCCCAGCGGGATCAGCAGCTGGGATTAGTAGTGCTGATGCAAGGGAAGAAGGAAAGCATATCTGGGAACAGTGGCTGGTGACTAAGAGGAGCTGCTTGGGTTTAGATTCCCTTGGCTGAGTGTGGCACTGCCTCCTGAGTTCCAGCCAGGTTAGTGTTCAGGCAGCTGGACGCACAGCCTTGGAATGGCAAAGTATGGATCTGCCCTGAGGCTGGAGCCCATTCCGGGGCAGGTTCAAAATGTAAAGGCTGAAAGTCTCTATGTAACCCTGACCTCAGGGATAAGTGCTCTTCCTGAACCAGCTCACCTCTTCTGCTTGTGCCAAAAATAGCATTTCTGTCAGCTATTTATTATTGCATTTCCATAGCCAATGTCAATATTTTATCTATTTATTTGTTAATGTAGGTGCTTTGCGCAAGGTGGATGTTTTATGATTTATTGACTGCTTTCTGTGGATTATACCCAAATCTCTGTGTTTGCTCTTGTACAAACATCTCAGTTAGGTCTTTGGCTGTTTTTTTTTTCCCAAAGTGACTTATACTGAATCTACACTGTGAAGTGTTTCAACACAAAGTAAACAAAAAGCATGCAAGTGTATTTTGAAAGCACTAGATTATTTAAGCATATCCTTCAAATTTGTTTTTAATTAATATTTTAATTATTTAATTGCACCTAAATCAGTGCAGAAAATACAGTCTGTTTTTTAAATGGAAACAATTTCTTACGGTGGCTCTGAAATGGATTTTAATTTCTTCCCCCTGATT